CAGTAGTCTCTTATAGGAGTTTATTGGGTCCCCTATATATAGTATCATGTCATCTGCAAATAGGGATAGTTTAACTTCCTCCTTTCCCATTTGTATCCCTTTAATTTCTTTTTCTTGCCTGATGGCTCTGGCTAACACTTCTAGGACTATATTGAATAGCAATGGTGAGAGTGGGCATCCCTGTCTGGTGCCAGTTTTCAATGGAAATGCCTCCAACTTTTCCCCATTCAATATGATGCTGGCCTTTGGTTTATCATAGACTGCCTTAATTGTGTTGAGGAATGTTCCTTCTAAGCCCAATTTGCTTAGGGTTTTCATCATGAAAGGGTGTTGTATTTTGTCAAATGCTTTCTCTACATCTATTGAGATAACCATATGATTTTTGTTTCTCAATTTATTAATGTGATTAATTGATTGACTTTCGAATATTGAACCATCCCTGCATACCAGGGATAAATCCCACTTGGTCCGGGTGAATGATCTTTCTGATGTGTAGTTGGATTCGATTTGCCAGAATTTTGTTGAGTATTTTTGCATCTATGTTCATCAGGGAGATAGGTCTGTAGTTTTCTTTCTCTGTTGTGTCTTTTCCGGGCTTAGGAATTAAGGTGATATTGGCTTCGTAGAAAGAATTTGGAAGGATTCCCTCTCTTTCAATCGTTTGGAATAATTTGAGAAGAACTGGGGTTAGTAGTTCTCTAAATGTCTGGTAAAATTCGACAGTGAAGCCATCCGGTCCTGGGCTCTTCTTTTTTGGTAGTGCGTTTATTACTGATTCAATTTCTTCTATGGTTATGGGTCTGTTTAGATTTTCTATCTCTTCATGGCTCAGTTTAGGAAGGTTGTATTTGTCCAGGAACCTATCCATTTCTTCCAGGTTCCCCAATTTGTTAGCATACATCTCTTTGTAGTAGTTTCTGATGATTCTTTTTATTTCTGTTGTGTCTGTTGTTACATTTCCATTACTATCTTTGATTTTACAGATTTGGGTCTTCTCTCTCCTTTTTTTGGTTAGTTGGGCCAATGGTGTGTCGATATTGTTTATTTTTCAAAGAACCAGCTCCTGGTTTTGTTGATCTTTTGCATTGTTTTTTTTGGTTTCAATTCTGTTTATTTCTTCCCTGATCTTTAGTATTTCTTTCCTCCTTTTGGATTTGGGCTTGATTTGCTGCTGTTTTTCTAAATCCTTGAGGTACATGGAGAGTTCATTTGTTTGGTTCCTTTCCAGCTTCTTGATGTAGGCACTAATTGCTATAAACTTTCCTCTTAGCACTGCTTTTGCTGTGGATGACCTGTTCTTTCCACTGGGATCTCACTCACAGAGATTTTTTTTTTTTTTTTTTTGCCAGAGTGTCTTGGCTTTCCATGCCTGAAATACTCTCATGGGCTCTTCAGCCAGATCCGAATTCCATAAGGGCTGATTCTGAGGCCAGAGTGCTGTTTAGGACATCTACCATTCTATGGGTCTGCTGTGTATCTCACTTCCCATGTTGGATTGTTCTCTCCCTTTTTTATTCTATCAGCTGGTATTTGCAGACACTATTCTTGTTTATGTGATCCCTTTGACTCTTAGACCTATCATTATGATCAATTGTGAACAGAAATTGATCACTTGGACTGGTGAGATGGCAATGGTACATGCCACCTTGATAGGATTGAATTGGAATCCCCTGGCATGTTTCTAACTCTACCATTTGGGGCAAGTCTGATTGAACATGTCCCAAATTGTACATCTCTTCCCTCTCTTATTCCCACTCTTATATTTAACAGGGATCACTTTTCAGTTAAGTTTCAACACTTAAGAGTATTTGTGTATTAATTACAGAGTTCAACCAATAGTATTAAGTAGAACAAAAAAAAAACACTAAAAGGGATAAAGTATTACGTTGTTCATCAACAATCAGTACAAGGGCTGATGAAGTCACTGTTTCTCATAGTGTCCATTTCACTTCAACAGGTTTCCTTTTTGGTGCTCAGTTAGTTGTCACCGATCAGGGAGAACAAATGATATTTGTCCCTCTGGGACTGGCTTATTTCACTCAGCATGATGTGTTCCAGATTCCTCCATTTTGTTGCAAATGACCAGATTTCATTGTTTTTTACTGCTGTATAGTATTCTATAGAGTACATGTCCCATAATTTCTTTATCCAGTCTACTGTTGATGGGCATTTGGGTTGATTCCAGGTCTTAGCTATTGTGAATTGAGCTGCAGTAAACATTAAGGTGCAGACAGCTTTGTTGCTTGCCAATTTAATTTCCTTTGGGTAAATTCCAAGGAGTGGGATGGCTGGGTCGTATGGTAGGGTTATATTCAGGTTTCTGAGGAATCTCTAGACTGATTAGTCAGATTCTTTAAGGCTTACAGAAGTTAAGAAGGTCACACAGAGTTGTATGTCATCATGCATTATTATTCCTAATACATTTTAATATAATTAGTTATATACTTTTTCTTTAAAAATAATATATTTTTTCTTCATTTTTTTTGTTTTGTTTATTTATTTGAAAGAGAGAGAGTGAATGATTTGAGAGAGACAAAGATCTTCCATCCTCTAGTTCATTTCTCAAATGTCCATAAGAGCTAGGACTGGGCCAGGCAAAAGCCAAGAGCCTGAAATGCAATCCATGTCACCTACGTGGGTGCCAGGGACCCAAGTACTTGACCAGGATGCACATTAGCAGGAAGTTGTATTGGAAGTGGAATTGGGACCTGAACCCAGTTACTCAATATGGAATTCAGGCATCTCAAATGGTGTCTTAACTACTACACAAATTCACATCCCTTCCACATCTTTAAAAGAATTTTAAATTGAATAATAGACAACAGATAGTACACTGTGAAGTTTTCTCCCAAGCCTAGAATGTAAATAGCCACCCCTGTTTTTCTACTTTTTAAAATTTTTTTGATGGAGAGGCAGAAGCAGGTAGGGAGGGAGCGAGCACTTCATCTCCTAGTTTACTCCCCAAATGCCAAATGCCCACAATGTCCTGGGCTGGACAAGGGCCAGAGCCAGGAGATGGGAACCCCATCCAGGTCTTCCATGTAGGTGGCAGGGACCCAACCACTTGAGCCATCATGTGCTTCTCCCAGGGTCTGTACTAGCAGAAAGCTAGCATCAGGAGTTGGAGTTGGACTGAAAGCCAGGTGTTCTGATGGGGGGCACAGCCATCTTAACCTCTAGGCCAAATGCCTGCCCTCCCTCTCAGTTTTTAATGTATGGAACTTTGCATATGATGCTGATCATTTGGGGCTTCTTTATCCCTTCCACTACTCTTTTCTCCTTTTATCACTCATCCATTCTTTCTCCCTTTGGACTTCTCTTCCCTTCCCGGTCCCCTTTAATGAAGGATGATGAACCTTGAGTGAACCTTGTCCCTGCTGACCACCACCCCCTCCCCTTGTCCCTTTCCTGCTCTAATACTGCCCCAAGAGGGCCCTAGTAGGTAGAGCCTCTTCTTTTTTTCATCAGGTGGGTGCTATCTCACCTCTGTCTCCTGTTAATCTCTTTATCGTGTATCCAATAATTTCTCCCAGTGGGCCACTGCTGGCTTTTTTTGCTCATTTATCAGTGTGTGTAGCTAACGGTGACTGAGTGTTGCTGCTGTTGTTTCTGCTGCTTCCTCAAGGTCACGCAAACCTGTGTGTTACAGTCACCTGCTGGGAGGCCATTGTCTCTGCCCAATGGGTAACATCTTGGTGGTCCAGAGTAATTAGCTTTAAATTTCTTGCCAGCAAGTTTCCAAAGCTTTCTCTTAACCTTTCTCAACTCCCCTAAAACCTGAAGTTACTTCATTAATCTCTAAACCTTAATTCCCTTCATTGTTTTCCCCAAAATAATGGCTTTGTATTTTTTAATTATATAGAGCCTCAACCTCTCATCTCTCTCTCTCTCTCTCTCTCTCTCTCTCTCTCTCTCTCCTCTCCTCTTATGTCTTCTACTCTCTCCTCTTTTCTGCTCTCTTCTCCTGTGGCTCTCTCTGTGTCTTTCCCTCATTTCCATTACTTTTAGGAAAAAAATGCTTGGGTGTCAACATATGAATATATATGGTCTGTGCCCTTCTGTGATGGGTTTGATTCAATACATAGTGAAAAATTATCTGAATAAAATTTAAGACATCAGCTGGCCTAGCCCCTGCTTTGATGACATTTAAGACAGATGGTTGCCCATTATTACCTTAGAATTTCTAAGGATGGCAATGGCATAACCCCCTTTAATAGCCCATTACTGTTTTATCACCCTGCTTGATAGGTGCAGGTATGAAGGGCTTCAGTCTCATAATGGCATTTTGGGATGATAAATGGAAATTACTATAATTTTTCTACTCATTTTAATTAAATTTTATTGATGCAGCACAGAAAGCATTAAGGCTGAATAAGTGTGCCTGAGTGTGTGTTTGTTAAAGATTGCCGAATTTAAGGATGTCATGTCTTTGAGGTTTGAAAGATACAGAAAATATATCTGATAAAAGTGTTGTCTTTGTGAAATTCCTTTAGAAGTGAAACTAAATTGCTTCAAGAGGCACAGCTCAAAAATCCAAAGAATTCTCCCAGCAGAGATGTGATGTAGACCTCTGAGCGAAGTACCAGAAAGAGAAATGAGAATAACCATTTGGTTTTACGAAAGTCATTCCACACAATTGTTCTGGGTTCTGCTGTAAAAGAAGTTGTCTGGGATCTGCAGTGACCAATATGTTCTTGAGGGAGGAGAGAAGACCTGCTATAAAAGACCTGCTTCAACAGTGAACACCCCAGTGACTTGCTGTTGCTGATGGATTTTTCCATTGGTTCCAAGCTGTTAAAAAAAATGCTCCTTTTCCCTTTTTATAGCATGCCTGGCTCTTTGCAAATTAAAATTTCAAGGACAAACTAGAAGAGGAAAGATATGTGATCAACAGTAGAGGAATTTCTCTGTTGGCAAAGAATCCCTAATCCTGTCTTAGCCATTGTAGGTTTCTGAATTTACACCATGCTTTTCTTCCCCAGCAATGTGTAGAAACATGGCCCTTGAGACTCACAACTGGCAAAAATGCTGTTTTGGGTTTAAGGAGTTTGACTTTGTATTTGACTTGACTTTCCTTGTTTTTTTTTTTAAGAGTTATTTATTTATTTGACAGTCAGAGTCACACAGAGAGAGAAGGAGAGGCAGAGAGAGAGAGAGAGAGAGAGAGAGAGAGAGGTCTTCCATCTGCTGTTTCACTCCCCAGTTGGCTGGGCGGAACCATGCCACTCCAAAGCCAGGAGTCAGAAGCTTCTTCCAGGTCTTCCATGCGGGTGCAGGGGCCCAAGGACTTGGGCCATCTTCTACTGCTTTCCCAGGCCATAGCAGAGAGCTGGATCAGAAGTGGAGCAGCCAGGACTCGAACCGGTGCCCATATGGGATGCCACCACAGGCAGTGGCTTTACCTTCCATGCCACAGCGCTGGCACCCTTGACTCTCCTTGCTAAAGATGCTGCTCCAATGATAATGTGGGGGCCTGTAACACAAGGTCAGAGCAAAAGAGTTCTTAGCCAACTAGAATTAGCGTGGCAGAGAGGAATCCAGAGCTAGCGCATAGGCTGAGAACTGGCAGTTTCCATTTTCTGAGTTCTGACACAGCAAGGTTCTGAAAGTTCTGTAAGTAGCCTCTGAGGTCTTCCTTAGGCCCACAAAAGGAGCAAGATCTCACCTTTTTATGTTCTTACACAGCCGTTCTCAAACGGTGGTCTTCAGGCTGCTGTCATAGTCATTCATTTTTACGATGCTGCCTAACTCATTTCTGGCATAAATTAATCATTTACAAGAACCTTTCAGGAAAACCACCACCATCTCTCCCCTTTGTGCTGATTTATTTGGTTTGGGGCTTGCCTTTAGAGCACCCAGTTGCGGTCTATGGGGGTCTTTTGCTTCATACAAATAGTCTGGAGACAAATCGAGTGTGAGAACATCTAACCCTCCAGGGAAACACTGACTGATTTTAAGGGAACATTTCTCCTATGGTGACTGAGCTTTTTCTAGAACTCAGGAACACTGGCCAATAGATAAGGCAACACACTCCTTAAAAATGGTCTCTATCTTTTGGGTAGAAGTCATTGAAAGAAAGACCTCACAGTGTTCACAGGCAACATCATATGTGCCTGTCCCTAGTTCTTGATTTGCTCAAGGCCCAAGCAACCCAAAGGAAGACATTTGAATCTTATCTGTAATTGAGATCCAGGCATGTAGTGATCTAGGTGTGAAGAAGGAGTTCATGAAGGAAGCTAGACTTTGGAAAGGGCAACTAACACTCAAGAGAAAAATGCCTACAAATCAGGAGTCTGACAAAGCCTACAGTTCAGTATCCTCTTATTGGACACTATGGAAATGAACTTTGCCCTCCTAAGCCACCCACCTGCTGGCATAGCTGCACTTTGAGGAGAGGAGCACTAATTAGTAAAATTGAAGGGATGGGGCAGGCCCGTTTCAGTGGAAACACAAATGACCTGTTCCTTTTCTCAAAATGTTTGGCAGCAAACTCAGAAGAATTTGTGCAGGCTCAAGCAACTCCAGGGGGCCATCTTGAAAAAAAAAGGGACACACAAAAATAAAGATTTCCCCTTCTGACTGGGGAGAGACACAAGAGACAGAGACGAGGAGCCAAGCACATGTGAAGTTCAAGGTGCCAGCAGTGAAAGAGCAGGTGCTCCAGGAAGTGAGACGGCACTCGCATTGCAGGTGACAGTAGCAGTGTAGGTGGACATTGGAAGGAGAGGCAGCCCCAAGCACTGAACCAAAGGCAGGCTGGGGCAGGCATTATCACCATAGTTGAGCGGACCCTGTAGTATCCTGTGCTTGTCTATCCTATGGCTAATGTTAGATAAGAGGAAAATGTCCACACTTTTCCTCCACCTAAAATTATCTGGAGCCACAATAAGTAATACCTTCTTGGAGAATACCCTTGAGACTTGGGAAACTGAAATCAAATCCTGAATTTCATCAGTCGAGGAGGTGGCTTTTCTTGATTGACAAAGTGTGTAATTAGCCTTCTCTACAAGGGATGAAGTAAGAGGCAACTTACCACATCTGTTTCTTAGAAGCTACGGTTAAGGCTCACTTTGATCATTTTCCAGAACTGTGCAAAGGTGAAGCATTTTGTATATAATGGCATAAAGGCATGAAGAAGAATCAAGTGTGTATTTAAAGTTATAATCTACATACGAATAGTAGACATATTTGTATAAGGAATCTTTAACATACTCAAGAGATTGAACATTCTCAAGAACTTTCATCTTAGAATAACTTACTCTGTTCACCAAATCCTCACCCAAGAAAAACATTGTACCGTAGTTATAAGTGTTCTGAAGTTCCATGTCACCACAAGGAACATGTTTGACTACTTGGTAGTGGACAAGGCAAATCTTGTTTCCAAAAGCACATTGCTGCTTAATTCCAAACAAATCACACAATGCTAATCCCCTAAAAGTATCTACCTTAACGGATAAAGTCCAACTTGAGGGTGACCATTACCACCCAGATTATCACTGGCAGAACCTGATAGGCTATAGCCCAGCCCTACCTATCTGTTGTCAGCATTTCTCTTTCTGTTCAAACACAGTACATATTAGTGGATTTTGTTACACAGAAAGTATCCCAACTTTCATGACAGAAAATAAGCATTCTAAGCTGCCTTTAAGATTTGCTCCCATCTGTATGTTCATCAGTGACTTCGTTTTAAGTTGACTTGAAAAAAATACATACATATATATATTTAACTTGAAATATATATAAAAATATAACCCTTTTAAGGGCCTTTAAGTTATTGATTCTTTCCTGAATGTTTTCTTTGGTTAAGGATTCTGATGATTTAAGTGGTAGCCTACAGGAGTTAGATATATCAGATCTACTTTTGAAAGAGGAATGGTTTCATTTCTATTGTGCACTTCAACATTCTGATGATATGCCATCAAAGTTACTTTTCTTGTCACTTTTTAAACGCTTCAACCCAGGAGTTCTATTTAAAAAGAAAGCACTTGATGTTAAATTGCATCAGAAGTTTCCACTGATGTCACAGAGCACAAACAGTGACTGCTTTTAGTCTTCTTTTTTTTTTTAACCAAAACAGTAGGTGTGCTTCTAGTTCCCCAGTGACTTCAGTAACAGCTGCAATTCATGACAATATCAGGACAAACTGAACATATTTACCCCAACTATATTTTCCTGCTCCCATTGTCCAGCATCCTAATTTGTCACCAAAGTTCCCAAATGTCCAGCTAGAGCAATCCTGGAATCTGCCCTGAAAGTCAGCACTCTGGGTGCTGGGCTCCGAGCCAGCTCTACCCTGCTGCCACTTCCTAAGAGTAAACCCAGGCTCTGTGGACCAAGATGCTCCAAAGCTCCACAGGAGCCAGTGACCTGCCTGCTGACGCATTGTGCCTTCTGCATCCTGGCAGTGTCATTGCCTGACCCCAGGGAAGCAGGCCCAGAGCTCTGGGAAGGCTTCCAGGGCAGGGTGCTTTGGGAGGGAACACTACCACAGGAGGATCAGACTTCAAGGTGGCCATTTTGAGGAATCCAGTGCAAAATATTCACCTGTCAGTGTCACTCAAACCTCATAAATTCCATTTTACCTTTCCCACTTTACCCTAGGTAAATGGAGAGATGATTAGGTGCAGGCTCGCTTAGCAGAAATTACACCTTATTTAAAATCATTTTAGAATTTGTTTCCAAAATTTAAAAAGCACCAATAAATCCTTTTTGTGTTTCTTTGACTTCCACATTTACCTGATTCATAAAACATTATCACCTTTTGATTACTATGAGTTGGTCTTGAGTTTCAAGCTATCATCTGATAACCTAATTAACTTCCAGGGTATAAAATGTGGGCTTTCTTCCAATAAACAGAAATGTTTTTAAGTGGAATCTGGGAAAGGTGATTATTGCCCTCACTTTTTACCTTATGAAATCTTCAATAAAAGAAAGCGATAGCTTTGTGAATTGTTCCAGCTTGCAAGAATATGACTCAATGTATTCATAGGTGCTTATGTTAGAAATTGCATTATATTTTACACAAGAGGTTAGGTGGACTAAACCCAGGTATTTATTACATTAAAGGAGAAAACTACATTATTATTTTTTGAAAAATATGCATAATAGTTCTCCATAAATGTTCACCTCATTAATAAAAGAAATGCCATTCTACTTTAGCTACAGAGACCTTTCCCTGACAGAGACATTTTCACAATGACGATGTACTTGAATTCTTTTTCTCTCTCTGAGACACATTTGTCAAAATACCCTTCCCTTCAAATGATTCTACGATATACAATATTTAAAGGTGTTTCATGGTTATGCATCAGTAACACAAAAAAGGTCAGCTTGCTAGATTTTGCATGCACAATGCTTCTATACCCGACTACTTCTATCTGTTTAGTTTCACTTACTGCATTTTTCCAGATGTCAGTGTGTTCATCCTTTCCAAGCCACCTTCTACTGGGTTGTATCCATGACTTCTAGAATTTTTAACACTAGGCTCAATGCCTCCCAGAAGCCGGAGAATGGAAGTACTGAGTTATTTGTGTCTTGAGGTCAGTCTTCACACAGCCTCAGCTTCTGGGAAGAAAAGCAGGCAGGGGGACAAGCACTGAACACAGGATTACTTGGTTCTCAGCCTAGGTCTGCTTATCCCTTGTGTGTGCCATAGAGCAAGGCTCACGTTGCATGTGAGCTGTATCAGCCCTTGACAGCAGGGACTCGGTCTCGGTCTGGTTTATTCACTGTGATACCACAATGCCCAGCAACATGTGCCCAGAAAATGCAGGCACTCACTTTACGTCGGTGGGGTGAATGAATGAGTCTCAGTTTGCTTCTCTGTGAAGGCCCAGGCCACACACTGGAGAACACCACGTGCTCTTATTGGAGCCCAGGTGGCCTTAAACCCTTTGAGAACAGTGACATGATCCCCAGTGGTTATATGACAAGGAACTGGGGCAGCTGAGGGATTCAGAGGAGGAGTTCTTGATGAGATGCACATTTCAACTGATGTCTAATGAATAACTAGATGCGAACAAGCGAAAGCACTGGGAAGAATGGGAGCACTGGAGGCAGAGGCCTCATCCACAGGAGACAGCTTGGTTCATTCCAAGAGCTATAGGTTCCCTGGCATCCCCAGTGTGACTGCAAAAGTGAGGTATAAGCCAGAGCGAGTGGAAATACTGTTGACTCATACAGGGGGCGACTACAGGAAACCCTGGTAGCACTCACAGTAGCCCATAGGGACTACATTTTATCACATGGAAACTGAGGCCCAGAGGTCTCTGAGCAAGTTCCAGACCTTAAAATGAATTTTTTTGTCTTTTTTTTCTATTTGAGTTTTATGCTTTTTATAAAAATTCAAGTAGTATACAAATTTGTCAAGTAAAATTTGAGTTTTACAGCTCTAGAAATAATCACCGTTCAAGGTTGGTATGTGCTTTTATCCTTGCTGAATTTTTCTACACACATAGTTTTAAACAAAAATGTGATTATATTGTACATTAGTAGTTCTCAAACTTTTTGATTACAGGAGCTCTTCATACTTTGAGAAATTACTGAGGTCCCCACGGAGCTTTTGCTTGTTTGAATTATACCCAGTGGTGTGCTGAGCTAGCTGGAGTCAGCCCCCAGCTCCAATGGATTGGTAGCTGAAAATCAGTGCTGGTGGGAATATTTACCCCAGGGGGACTAACCAGGACTTTCCCTCTCCCTCAAGAGCAACAGTTGCTAATCCACGTTAATTGCATATCACATTAATATCTTTCAGATTAGATATTTAAAATGAAGATTTTCGAAACATCAAGTAGTTTACTTTAAAGTAACAATAACAAACCCTGCAGATTAGCATACATAACACTTTTTGTTTAAAGTTTTGCAAATCCCCAGGATGTCTGCTCTAATAGGAGGCAGCTGGATTCTCATGTCTATCTGCTCCTGCCTTCAATCTATTGTGATCCTACATGTTATATTGTCTCTGGAAACCTTTACCCTATACTCAAGAGAGGGTGAGAACGAACAAAGCCGAAAATGTCTTGGTCAAATTTTGAAAATCACATTATCCAAATGGACACCTAGAAGGGGTCTCAGGAAGTCCCAGAAATCACTGGATCTCTATACATAAAATTCTACTCTTTGTTTTTGCTTTTTTACTTTTCTTTAGATTTTTTAAACTCATTATGGCATGGGCCATGATAAAGATCTACATCATTAAAATGAGATATATATGTCAAATAACAATTACCTAGATCATTTGGTCTTGTTTGTTTCTGCTATTTTTCTTAATTTATGCCCAAATATTATATCATATAGAGAATAGGAGAAAAAAGAGGAGATGAGAAGGAGCTCAGTGAATATTTACATAGACTACCTCTTTTCTAAAGACATTTGTTTATATTTGTTTGGGAGTCAGAGAGAAACAGGAAGAGATACAGACAGAGTTCTCATCCAGTAGTTCACTTCCCAAATGCCTACAATAGATGGCAGTGGGATGGTTAAAGCAAGAGCTGAGAACTCAAACCAAGTGTCTCACATGGGTGACAGGAACCCAATTACTTGAGCCATCACTACTGCTTCCCAGGGTCTGCATTAGTGGAAAGCTGGAGTCATGAGCCACAGCCTGGACATCTTAACCACTAGGCTAATATTCACTCCTCTAGAGATTTTTTTCATTATATGATTTTATTTATTTATTTGAAGGGTGAAGCTACAGAGTGAGGAGAGACAGAGGGAAGTCTTACATCTGTGGTTTACTCCCCAAATGTCTGCAATGCCCAGGGCTGGGCCAGGTTGGCAGCCAGGAGCCAGGAGCTTCTTCTGGGTCTCCCATGTGGGTACAAGGGCCCGAAGGCATGGACTTTCCCAGGAACATTAGCAGGGAGCTGGATCAGAAGTGGAGCAGCCAGGTCTCAAACCAGTGCCCATATTGGATGCCCCTGCTGCAAGCAGAGGCTTAGCCTGTCACTTGACAGTGCCAACCCCTCCTCTAAAGATTTTTTTAGCATTTTAGTTTTGTAAAATTATTATAACACAATTCACAAAACTTTAATACATTTACTAAATTATAATTTCCGGACTGTTGGCTAATTTTTTTTTCATTTTTTTCTGTCCTTTAGAGTTTTTTTTCCTCGCAGAAACACTTTATTTAAGGTATACAAACTTCATGCATTTCATAAATACAACTTTAGGAATATAGTGATTCTTCCCACCCTACCAGCCCTCCCACCCACACTCCCACCCTTATTCCTCCTCCCTCTCCTATTCCTGTTCTTATTTTTCACTAAGGTTTATTTTCAATTAACTTTAACTCCATACTAAGATTAACTCCATACTAAGTATATAGTCCAACAAATAGTATGAAAAAAAAAACCTCTTTCCTCAGACAAGGGCTATTCAAAGTCATCGCCTCTCAAAGTGTCAATTTCACTTCTACAGATTACCTTTTAGGTGCTCTATAGTTACCACAGATCAAGGAGAACATATGGTATTTGTCATTTTGGGACTGGCTTATTTCACTAAGTATGTTTTCCAGTTGCATCCATTTTCTTGAAAATTACAAGATTTCATTTTTTCATGCTATGTAGTCTTCTGTGGTATACAAATCCCATAATTTCTTTTTCCAGTCTTCAGCTGATGGACATTTGGGTTGATTCCATGTCTTAGCTATTGTGAATTGAACTGCAATAAACATGGTGGTACTGATAACTCTTTCATATTATGATTTCATTTCCCTTGGGTAAATTCCTAGGAGTGGATTGGCTGGGTCATGTGGTAGGTCTATATTCAGATTTCTGAGGTATCTCCATTCTATCTTCCACAGTGGCTATTCCAGTTCACATTCCCGCCAACAGTGGATTAGGGTATCTTTTTCCCCACATTCCCACCATCATTTGTTGTTCGTTGATTTCTGCATTCTAACAGGGATGAAGTGAAACCTCATTGCAGTTTTAATTTGCATTTCCCTGACTGCTAGGGATCCTGAATATTCTTTCATGTGTCTGTTGGCCATTTAGATTTCCTCTTTTGAAAAATGCCTGTTTAAGTCCTTTGCCCATTTCTTCACTGGGTTGTTTGTTTTGTTGTTGTTGAGTTTCTTGATCTCTTTATAGATTCTGGTTATTAGTCCTTTATCAGTTGCATAGTTTGCAAATAATTTCTCCTATTCTATCAATTGCCTCTTCACTTTTGAGTGTTTCTTTTGCAGTACAGAACCTTCTCAATTTGATGTAATCCCATTTGTCAATTTTGGCTTTGATTGCCTGTGCCTCTGAGGTCTTTTCCAAGAACTCTTTGCCTATGCCAATGTATTAAGAGTTTCTCCAATCTTTTGTAATAATTTGATGGTAGTGGGTAGTAGATTTAGGTTTTTGATCCATTTTGAGTGGATTTTTGTGTAACGGGTAAGATAGTAGCCTTGCTTAATACTTCTGCATGTGGAGATCCGGTTTTTCCATTACCATTTGTTGAATAGACTGTTCTTGATCCAGGGATTGCTTTTAGACGCTTTGTCAAAGAAAAGTTAGTTGTAGACGTGTGGGTTGATTTCTGAAATTTCTATTCTATTCCATTGGTATATCAATCTCTTTTTGTGCCAGTACCAGGCTGTTTTGACTATAACTGCCCTGTAGTATATCTTGAAATCTGATATTGTGATACCTCTGGCTTTATTTTTGTTGTATAAGATTGCTTTAGCGATTTGGGGTCCCCTGTGTTTCCATGTGAATTTCAGCATTGTTTATATCTTGCTTGACTTAGTGCCACTTCCAGTAGGAGGACACATGTGTGACTCACAATTTGGTCTTCATTTCCTCATCTCAATCCTCATCCCCAGTGACATGAAGAAGTTCCTTTACTCTGACATGAAACCACATAAGTAAAATTCAGCTGTGTTAACCATGATCTTTAGAGGACTAGGAGCAGAGACTAGGATGGAGAAGATCTTGAGATGTGTTTTGTTTTCCTTTCCCAGGAACTTTGGAAATCTCACAAGCTGAGTGGTAGTGGGATATCCAAGAGGAGGCATGAGATTATGAACCAAGCATTCAAAAATAGAAATAACGATAGCATCTAGTTCATGGCAACAGAATCTATAACAGTGCCCACCAAATAGTTGTTGAATAAATACAATATAAATACAATACATAAAAATGACAAATATAATAATATAAATAGTATTATGAGGATTAAATTAGTTTCACGCAGTAGTTTTTACATACGGCTCAGAACATGTACTACATACATGTTAGATTTTATATTTTTTTGTGCTACCAGACTGAAGATTCATAATTACATCTTGCAGCTCAATCTTTGGTCAATAATAGTGTTATTTTCTTCCATGAAATAAAATTTTTAAATAAAAAAAGATATATTGGCATATGAAATTGCCAATTTGCATTATAGGAATTTTGCAATGACTTCAGATACAGTGGTTATCAGTTTGAACCTGGTTAGATCAGAACACATGTGACGAGAAATGCATGTCTCCCATAGCAGGTAGATGCAAGATCAACCCCTTCACAGCTGCCTGATTCTTGCCTCTCTCCTGCATGTTAGGACAACTGTGCGAATATTGTTTTCAAGAT